GTGACATTGGAGAGCGGCGAGGCCATGGCGTGTGGTTGTGGGGAGGTGGGTGGTGTGGGGTGATGGCCAGGCGGGTCCCATCGGCTGGGGGTGGGCCTGGTGGTGGGGATGATGATGGGGATGATGATGATGATGATGGTGCTGATCCGCCCGGATGGGTCCAGCCGCCGGCCCCGTGACGGGGATTTAAAGGTCGATCGGCCACCAAGGTGCCTGCAGGTTCCTCCAGGAACGATTCTGTCACCTTCCCGGGGAGCAAAGGTCAGGGGTGGCCATATTTGCCCAGATTTTGCCCCGTTCCGGCGCTGCCATCCCTCCCACCTCGCTCCTCCCTGCCCCTGGCATCCCTCGTGAACCGGCAAATTCATCCCGACACACCCCAAAACCCCAAGCAGCCCGAGCGATTCTCGTTTCCTTCTATTCTGCTTATTCTCAAAACATAGCTCTTTTACCCGGGGTTAAAAAAATCAGTTGAAAAATCCCAAGGACTCGTTTTTTTCCTCTTCCCCCCCCCCATCCCCTCAACCCAGCAGCGCCGTCGCCTCCGTTCCGCCTCGTCACAGCCCTGGCTGGGAACAACTCTTGCTGGAGGGTGAAAGGCTCAGTCTTTGGGCATTTTTTGGGGGAAAAAAAAAAAAAGACAAGAAAAACCCCACCACCACAACAAAAAAGTAACAATTTTTTCTGAAACCCAAGCGGAGCTGACTCATCGTGTCTGAGCGAGGCTGGGCTGTGTCCCTGGGGAATATTTATAGCGATGCCGGCTGAAAGGGATCCCATCTCCTCTCCCCGACGGCCGGGTGAGGATCAGAAGCACAGTTTGTTGCAGTTTGTTTCATCGGGTTGAATAATCACCTCTCTCGTGGCTTTCTGCCTGCGAAATCTTGTCAGAATTCCTTCCAAAAATTGCTTTTGCGCCGTTAAAAAGACGTCCCCGATTCATCCCTCCCCGAGCACTCTCCACTGAAGGTTGATGCTGAGCCCCTTTTCTTCCTGCCCACGTTTTGGGTGGTGTTGGAGGGGGTGGTGGGATGGTGTGAGGGACATCCCTGGTGGTCACCGTAGTCACAGGAGCGATGTCCCCATCCCCGGCTCCTGGTGGGATGGAGTTGGGAAGCGGTGGGATGGAGTTGGGAAGCAATGGGATGGAGTTGGGAAGCGGTGGGATGGAGTTGGGAAGCAATGGGATGGAGTTGGGAAGTGGTGGGATGGAGTTGGGAAGCGGTGGGATGGAGTTGGGAAGCACAGCCCTTCCCACATTTGGCAGGTAGAGAGAGAAAAACCCCCTCCCTGGGAAGCACAGCCCTTCCCGCGTTTGGCAGGTAGAGAGAGAAAAACCCCCTCCACCAGCTCTGGTGGGGTGTATGGTTTCAGGATGGGTTTAGACTGAACATTAGGAAAGAATTTTTCACAGAGAGTGGTCGGGCATTGGAAGAGGCTGCCCAGGGAGGAGGTTGAGTCCCCCTCCTTGGATGAGTTTAAGAGTCATTTAGATGTGGGGTTGGGGGATATGGTGTAGGGGAGAACTTTGTAGAGTAGGGTTGATGGTTGGACTTGATGATCCCAAGGGTCTTTCCCAACCTGAATGGTTCTATGATTCTATGATGTTCCTCTTCCACGGGAGGGCATCAAGCTGCCCAACGGCGCTGGGAGAGGAGATGCTGTTTTAATTAGTCATCCCCATTGATCTGGCACTGGGTGTTCCTGCAGCGGGGCCGGGAGCGAGGGACGTGTCCCTTCTTGAGCGCCGTGCCGGGGCCTGTGCCAGCCCGTGCCCCTGTGCCGGGCGGGTGGCACGGGGTGGGAGAGCTGCCCTGCTCACCTCCTCTGCCGAGATTCTGGAAGAAAAGAGGTCGTTAACCTGTGTTTTTAATTTAATGCACCACATCTGGGGTTCTTTGTTCTTCCCTCGCAGTTATCGTAAGTCCAGGAGCTGCAGCAGGCTGCAATAGCCCCCAACTTCGTTTAATTGATACTTATATATGATACCTTAATAAGGGGTTGCCGTACAACGTTGCCGTTCTTAATTTATACCCATACAATTAAGAGCAGGCTCTTTCTTTAATTCCATAAATATTAGTATAGACGAAATCATAATATTTACAGCTTTTCAAGGGTTTATCGCCTCTGCGCTGCTGCGTGTCTTGGGCTACAAAGAGACTGCAAGAAACCAATGTGAAAAAACAATCTGAAAAATAACTAAATTCCATCACGTATGTAACTCAAAAGCAAAGCTTTGTTGGGAGGGCTGTCGTCCCACGAGTCTCACAGGGTTCACAAATGCCCAAGTGAAAGAAACTCTGGGCTCCAGAGTCTTAAATTTTGACTCATAATGGTGCAGGGATTACATGACGTCGGCACCGGAGCAAGTTGGGGCAAAAAGGGCTGTTGGGTTTTGTGTCCCATAATGCAGAGTATTTACAAATCACGTGCTTTGCCAAAGTCTTGTGAAGGTGCCAAAATTGATGTACCAGGAAGAACTTGTTTGGTGTGAGGGTGGTGAGAGCCTGGCCCAGGTTGCCCAGAGAAGCTGTGGCTGCCCCATCCCTGGAGGGCTTCAAGGGCAGGTTGGAGGGGGCTTGGAGCAACCTGGGCTGGTGGGAGGTGTCCCTGCCCAGGGCAGGGCGGGTGGCACGGGGTGGGAGAGCTGCCCTGCTCACCTCCTCTGCCGAGATTCTGGAAGAAAACAGGTCGTTAACCTGCGTTTTTAATTTAATGCACCACATCTGGGGTTCTTTGTTCTTCCCTCGCAGTTATCGTAAGTCCAGGAGCTGCAGCAGGCTGCAATAGCCCCCAACTTCGTTTAATTGATACTTATATATGATACCTTAATAAGGGGTTGCCGTACAACGTTGCCGTTCTTAATTTATACCCACACAATTAAGAGCAGGCTCTTTCTTTAATTCCATAAATATTAGTATAGACGAAATCATAATATTTACAGCTTTTCAAGGGTTTATCGCCTCTGCGCTGCTGCGTGTCTTGGGCTACAAAGAGACTGCAGGAAACCAGTCTGGAAAAACAATCTGAAAAATAACTAAATTCCATGTGTGTAACTCAAAAGCAAAGCTTTGTTGGGAGGGCTGTCGTCCCACGAGTCTCACAGGGTTCACAAATGCCCAAGTGAAAGAAACTCTGGGCTCCAGAGTCTTAAATTTTGACTCATAATGGTGCAGGGATTACATGACGTCGGCACCGGAGCAAGTTGGGGCAAAAAGGGCTGTTGGGTTTTGTGTCCCATAATGCAGAGTATTTACAAATCACGTGCTTTGCCAAAGTCTTGTGAAGGTGCCAAAATTGATGTACCAGGAAGAACTTGTTTGGTGTGAGGGTGGTGAGAGCCTGGCCCAGGTTGCCCAGAGAAGCTGTGGCTGCCCCATCCCTGGAGGGGTTCAAGGGCAGGTTGGAGGGGGCTTGGAGCAACCTGGTCTGGTGGGAGGTGTCCCTGCCCAGGGCAGGGGGTTGGAACTGGATGATCTTTAAGGTCTCTTCCAACCCAACCCATTCTATGATTCTATTGATACAACATCTCTTGGTTGGGAGAGGTCACTGCCCAGGCTGGGGGTCCAGAAAGGCTGGTGGGACACGTCCCCAGCAGCTCTGCAGTTACCATCTCTCATGGAGATGTGGAGCTGAAATGTTCAGAACATCAAGAAATGGTACACGAGTCCAAATTTATTAGGAAAAAATGCAGCTAGAGTAAGGTTAAATCCAAGCTTTTTATTTTTTTAGCCTTGGATCTGATAGACTTCATGGGATAGACTTCATGGGAATTTTATTCTTATCATGGATGTTATTCTTATCTTAAATTTTCAGGTTGCTCCTTCCCCTCATGTAAATTCCATAAAGTTGATAAAAGTGTAGGTTTAACTCAGACATGTCAGAGGGTTGTGAAGCAGAGATGAGTTTTCCTTTGGTGGCAGCCAGTCCTTACGTTTGCCAAGGGCCCCCTGGGGCTTTGCTGCCTGTTGGGCTGATCTTGATTTAATTACCCAGAACGGCATCGTAGGGTGAAAAGTTTGCCATCTGTGACATTGGAAAATATTCAAATTTGGCCTGCTGGAAGCGCTTTGTCTTTGATGAAATCTTCCCTAGGGCTGGCTCCTGGCTAGGAAGGAAGTTTCCTATTTTTCCCCTTTATAGTGGCAGCTCTAAATTCACAAAATTCAGGTTTTCTTCAGCCATGACTCTCATGTGCTACAGTATTTCCTACTTAAAAAAATCAACATATTTTCCTATTTAGGGCATGTTCTATGTATTGTGCTCGGCCTGCTCCGTGCGGGAGTCGGGGTGCGTGGTCACTGGGAGTTGTGTGTGTGGTTGGACAAGGATAAAAGCGCTGAATTGGTTTCAGCCCTAACCCCTAATCTGAGTTAATGTGCTGGGATCCCACTGGTGAAAAGCAAGGGCACTCGGCCACCGCCATTCCTTGATCCTTTAAGAGTTTGAATCCCCGTTAAGCATGCTTGTCTTCCAACCTGCACTCGCCCTGGATGTAATCAGTTCTGCTTTCCATCTGTTAAACGTTTGAGGCTTCTGATTAGCCCCAGCAAAGAGAAATACTAATTGGTTCTGGTTCTTGCTGACAAAGGCAAGGTCACCCCCCAGGTAGGCAGCGCCGAGGGCTTTCCCCACTCAGCACTTTTACACACCTTGCTGTGTGTGCGTTGCGTGATTTGCCTTCCAGCCCGCAGGGATTTAGCTTTCAATTTTGTCACTTAATTATAGTAATTGCCTAAGCGGAGATCTCACCCTCTCCCACTGTCCTACAGCCCCAGCCTGGGGGCTGTCACAGCTCGGCCACCCCACAGGACACGCGAGGGAGGAACCTCACTGGGAGCAAAGCGTGGCTTCCTGGGCTTGGATGAAAGCAAAACATCACTTACAAAACCCAAACAAAAAGCGTAAATAATTCCATTTTCAAGAAAATATTTTGATTTGATGGAGCCACTCAAAGGGGCTGTTGGTAAAACACACCTGGTGGATTCCCAAAAGCTGTTGGTAGAGCACTGCGTTAGCTTTCAACGCTGTGCTGATTTGATTTCCAAATGTAGGAATTTTTACCATTTTTAATTTTTGATGATGCTAAATGGAAATAGCCATCAGAGGGCTCTCAGGAGGCCGGGCAGGGAAGAAGTGTCTCCTGGACAGGACACACACAGAGCCCTTGGGGGATCCCCCATCCCTCCCCAGGCTTTAGGCTGTGATCTCCAGGCAGGACATTCCACTCTGCTTCCAGGGACTTTAATAAGGAGCAGAGGAATTACTTAAAGAAATCTGTTAATACTTGCTTTTTAGGGTTTTTCTGTGCGCATGTTTTTATTTTATTTTTTTTTTAAAGGTTGTTTTATGTATAAACATAAAATCCCTGCTTTTGTGTTCGCACAAAACACGAAGAGAGACATTTAGTTCTAATATAAGCAGTTAAAACTGCTTTGGAGTATGGAATACTTTTTTTTTTTTTAAAAAATATTTATTTTTCATTTAACTGTTTAGCTGCTCGTGAATTTGGGGCTGCGTCTCGTTACTGAATTATAACTGGAAAGAGACGAGATACATCCAGGTAGTCTTTGCACCTGAAGGTCCATCCCAGCACGGCCCCTTTGTATCCTACTTTATTTACGTTCCGAGGAAAACTCTTGGCTTTTATTTCGCCACCAGATCTGTTTTTGGCCCCTCTAGGACAGGGATTCTTGGTTTATGCAACAGCAATATCCTGCTGGAGCAGGCAGCAGCTTGTCGGGTGGAGCGCTGGAGGCGGCGAGCCACTGGCTGCTGGAGCTCCCTCTCTCATCTCCCTGGGGGTGGTGGTGGCTTGTCCCGAGTCCACCAGCCGAGTCCCCAGCCAGGAGGACTCCTTAAGAGCATCCCTCGTGTTTCCTTTGGGCTCTAAACAAGTAATTTTCTTCTAATGTTGAATAATTTGGAGTGCGGATTAGCAGGCAATTTTTTCAAGCATTTACATGCTTGTGTAATAAACTGCGTATTACTTTTGCGTAACCAAAAAAGTTTGGAAATATGGAATTTTAGTGCAATGTTGGGTATAGAGAGGAGCAGCTTTATAAGTATGATTTATCTCCTTGGCCTTTACGAAATTATGAAGGTGTATATATAAAGGTGTGCACCAGGTCAGGTGGTTTGACTTTGCTTCCCTAGAACGAGTTACTGCACTTGGATAAGAAAGAAGGTGTGGTTGGGTCGTTCCTCTCGTGATCCCATTTTCTCCTCTGTATCCGATAAGGAAAGGTGGGGAGGGACTCTGGGTCAGGGAGGGGAGCAAGAGGATGGGGGGAAGGGTTTGACCCTGAAAGAGGGGAGATTGAGATGGGAAGAACTTGTTTGGTGTGAGGGTGGTGAGAGCCTGGCCCAGGTTGCCCAGAGAAGCTGTGGCTGCCCCATCCCTGGAGGGGTTCAAGGGCAGGTTGGAGGGGGCTTGGAGCAACCTGGGCTGGTGGGAGGTGTCCCTGCTGATGGCAGAGGAGTGGAACGTGATGATCTTTAAGGTCCCTTCCCACCCAAACCATTCTATGATTCTATGATTTTTTTTCCCCAGTCGATGAACAGAAAAGTCTTAGAAATCTGTCGGTGAAAAACAACCATTTATGGATTTTGCTGCCATAAATGATACCCATTTGCTGCTCTGAGTGAGGGGGGAGAGATGCTCCTGGTGCTGTTCCTCTCTCCCAGTTAGAGTTCCTCACTGGGAGACTGGGGCCCTGTTTCTTTGTGTCCCAGTGCCCGGATCCATTGCCAGAAAGAGAAGAAACGTTTCCGAGAACTGGTTTCAGAAGAAGTCATTCATTCATGCATGATTCATGCTGATAAGAGAACAAGAGTTCACTCTTTCGAAAGGCACAGCCTGTTTATTTATTTATTTTTTTAAAAACCTATATCTGTTCTGCGACCTGTTTCTCGTCCACGATGGCAAATGGACGGTAATTGCTGCCACTGCTTAATGAGCAAAATCAAATCACACTGTTTGCTCCAGCTGGTTTCTCCTGGCTGTGTTTAATTGATAGGTGGTGGATAGAAAATTAAACTGCCTGAAATGGGCTTAAGTTTCTTGTTGCGTAAGTGAATTAAGTAAGTTTCTAAACGCTGTAATTTCCCTTTTTTTTTTTTTTTTTTTTTTTTTTTTTTTTCCAAAAAATTGAAGGGAGGCGGCTGGCAGCCATCCATGTTCTCTTGAGGGGTTTATTCTGCATTACGGCTGCCTCAG